AACGCCTCGATTCCCGATTTCGCCTTTTAAAACCTTGAGAAATATTACAATTGATTGTATGCAAATTTTAAATTTTAATGAATGAATGTTTCTTTCAAGTGGAAATGTTCTTTTCATCTGGTTGTAGACTGGGTCCGGATTATTAAAATCTCGGTCCAAACTTTCAAATCTTTCATCTTTCCCCCAAAAGGAAAGGCAATGCAACCTTTCCCCAAAAGGAAAGAAAATCCAAATTTCTCTAAAAAAAAAATCAAGTTCATCTTTCTCCAAATGAAGGAAAGTTCAAATTTATCTTTCTCCAAAAGAAAGTCAAATGCAAATCTTAGTACCAAATGCTAAGTGTAGACATCCCCAAATAAAAGTCTTCTTTTCAATTCTGAGTTTAGGCAGAATTCAAACCTTCTAAGGTCTCTCCTAGCTCATTCCCTTTAGATCTTATTCTACTCAAATTGAACATCATAGATCTACCCAAATCTAGACTTTTAGTGGTTGCCAAAACACCCTTTAGTCTTCCCAAATGCTAAGATTTATTTAGCCAAAATAAGATAAACTATATTTCTAGATGTTACCAAAATACCTTTTAAAGCTTTCCAATAGGTGCCAAATGCCTTTTTGACATTTAGGAAACAACAAATGTTCCTAACCTTTCTCAAATGATAGTGAAAATATCTTTGAGAATTCTTTAGGTGGTAACCAAAATACCCTTAGCCTTTAGGTGATAGTAAGATATCCCTAAGCTCTTTTAGAAGTCATCAAATTTCTTCTAATCAAATCAAATTCTTTCTAAAGATACCAAATATCTTTAGAAATATCTTTTGGAAGTTGTCAAAATGCTTCTAATTGATTCAAATTCTTTCTAAAGATACCAAATATCTTTAGGAATCACTCTTAGAAGTTATCTAAATACTTCTAATTGATCCAAAATCTTTCTAGAGATATCAAACATCTCTAGAAGCCTCTTAGAAGTTATCTAAATGCTTTTAACCAAGTTAAATCATTTCTAAAAATATCAAATACATCTAGAATTCTCTTTAGAAGTTGCCAAAATACTTCTATCCCGGTCAAATTCTCTCTAAAGATTTCAAATGTCTTTAGAGATCTCTTTAGAAGTTGCCAAAATACATCTAAGTTCTCTTCCAAGAGTAATCTAAAACTCTTTCTTTAAGGTGATAGATAGAAATCTCCTTATCCTTGCAGATCTTGCTTAAACCCAAGTTTAGGCTTTCATAGATCTCTCCTTCTCTTTCAAATCATACTCTATTTGATTTGGAAGATCTCGTTTGATCATTTTTTGGTCAACGTCAATATGTGTGGCGTACTTCTTTTCGTTCACCACACATATTGGGGTTCCTTTTGTTGACGAATATTTTCGCATTGACTCGACCCCGATCGAGCCCGACTAGGCTCGATCGCGCTCGATCAACTTAATCGATCATCGTCGAGGCAAAATTGATTCGAATTGAGCCTCAATTTAATTAAATTAAACCCAATTTAATTTAATTAAAATCAAATCATTTTAAATCAAACCCCGTCGAGTGTCGGCGAGTTCAATTCGACGCAATTCGGCACTTTTCGGCCTAGATCCGAGCCCAATTTCGTAAAATTGGCTCGATCTGACCCATTTCGGTCCGAATCGACTCTAATCGATTCAAATTGGGTCCAATGCGAACCCAATTTTTAGCCCAATTCATCAAGTCTTAGCTCAATTCAAATCTCAAATCAAGATTTGAATCAAACGGCTTATATTTCCTCTGAAATCCCGCTCTGTTTTCCGTCAAATCGCCTGGTTTCAGCGGCTACAGCAGAAGATCCACTCGAGTGAGATCTTTTCGCGTGTAGGAGCAGGAGAGATAGAGGAGACGGGATTCGACTCCTTCGTGGCTTTTGGTTCGTCCCTGTCCCGACCCAGAGAGAACGACAGAGAGAGCGAGTGAGGAGAGGCGGAAAATCCCTCCCCGTGCCCAACTCAACCCGGCGAAACCGAGGACTCCCGCGTGTGGCTCCTTCGTGCGCCTCCGCCGTGTCTCGCCGCCCTTCTTCCAGTGAGCCAGAACCCTTGCTTGTGGCTTTCCTAGTGGAAGGGAGAAGAGAAGCTTAGGGTTTTGAGACCCTTTCTCATTCCAAAGAAGGTTAAGGTAGCCATTCACTTCCTTTCTCAAAGATCAACGAAGTTAGTGGCTTATTTCTTCCCTTCTCCTTCAACTCCGGCGACTTCGAGACAAGTTGGGAGCTGTTTGAAGCTTCCAAACAGCAAAAGAGAGCTTCAAAACCTTCCAAACAGCAGTTTGCAGCCTTAAAAATAGCTTTGGACAGCAGCGGCGAGTTCCGGAGCGGCTTGGACAGCGACTTTGGAGCTTGAATCGGAGCTTGGAGCGACTTTGGAGCTTGAAGCGGACCTTGGACAGCAACTTGGACAAAAATTGGAGCGCTTGGACAAACCGGGTGTGGTAAAATCCTTAAAACTTAGGCAAAACCCTAAGGCTCCATAGCCAATGCAATGTGATTGACGATCCCAAGCTTTAGGTCCTTAGAAACTTTAATTTTTGGTCCCCAAAAACCTTTATGTTGGCTATCCACTTCGCAAAGGCTATGGAAATTAGGCGATTTCCATTAGTTGACTCTTATGTAAGAGTTCGGAGAGGATTTTGACACGCATAGAGGCGTCGGGTTGTTATCCGACATCTCTAAAATTTATGCTATGCATCATATTAAGCTTAACACCTTCGCCTACATCCAAACTTTAGGGCATGTTACTTTTCGTAGCCAAATTGTGTGTGTAGCTTGCATATCCACTCAAATCTCACATTGTGTACATGTACTTATACAACACTAGTGTCATGCGCGAAGTAAATACATGATTTAGGAATTTGGTGGAGCTTGTGAAGTTTATCATAAGCCCTATAACATATTCAAAATATTTGTGATAAATTGGTGTAGGATTTAATGTCGACCTCAAAGTCTCACTTCAAAAATCCTAGAACAAGTGTGCTTGAGTAACCTATCTTTTGGATGTGTTGTATAGCTTGTGATAAAAAGTTTATGGCTAGTTACTTTTGCTATGCAAGTCTTTCAAAGCTTGGGAAACTCATCATTATGCCCTTAATGAATCAAATCACGACAAAAGTGATTTGATCTCTTAAGATTTTCAAATGCATGTTTCCCACTCCATTAAGATTCAAGCCATATGTGATGTATTTATTGCTTAGATTAATGAGTCTATTAGTTTGCAAATTTTTATAAATGTGCTAATTTAATCCTAAACTTTGCTAAACTTGGTTTGGAACATTTCATGGACCCCAAAGGCCCATGATCAATGCTCCATCATATTAATGGATTATTTAAGCTCATTTTTCCTAATTTGCAAGATAATATGACCAAATACAAGCTTTCAAATTTCAAAATCATATTAGGTACGATTTAGGGAAAACCATTTTCTTGTAGAGTTTAATAAGGTTATAGGTTGTCTTTCAAACCTCATAGGAAATCAATCTTCCCCTCTAAATGAATCCAAACATTCATGCAAACTATAGAGGACT